TTTGGGGGTAATTGCCTCAAAATTTTAGGAATTAGTGGCCAAAAAAGGGGCAAAAAACAAGCATTTTTCTAGTTTCATGACAATAACTTGTGTGTAAGTGCTTGGATATTTCTGAAATTGTACTACAAGGTTCCATATCACAAAGGGAAAGCTGGAATTGAGTTTGGGGGTAATTGCCCGAAACGTTTAGGAATTGGGGGCCAAAAAGGGGCCAAAAATAAGCATTTTTCTAGTTTCCAGACAATAACTTGTGTTCAAGTGTATGGATCTCTCTGAAATTGTACTGCAAGGTACCATACCACAAAGGGAAGGCTGAGATTGAGTTTGGGGTGATGAATCATAAGGGGGTTCAAAAAATTTTGGGGGGGGATTTCTTTTTTTCTTTTTTTCCTTTTTTTTTTTCTTTTAAAATTTTCCATTTTAAGTTGGTTATTTCTGATTTATATTTAAAAGCAAATAATAATGATATGGTAGGAGATACACACCAAACAGGATGTGTAAATTATTATATTATAAGTATTGTGCAATAGCAAGAAATTTTCAATTGCACAGTATTGCACAATAGCAAGAAATCTTCAATTGCACAGTATTGCGCAATAGCAAGAAATCTTCAATTGCACAGTATTGCGCAATAGCAAGAAATATCCAATAGCACAATATTGCGCAATAGCAAGAAATTGTCAATTGTACAGTATTGCGCAATAGCAAGAAATAATCAATTGCACAGTATTGTGCAAAAGAAGATACTTCCTATAAATTGCTTATTTCTTGATCAATTTCAATAGGGTTTTATTCTTGAATTCTTGGGGTTCTTTAATATGCTGAATCTAACCGTGTATTAAGTTTTTGGATTTTGGGCCCCGTTTTTAAATTGGTCCACATTGAGGTCCAAAGGGTCCAAAATTTTACTTTGTTTGATTTCATCAAAAATTGAATTATTGGGGTTCTTTGATATGCCGAATCTAACCGTGTATTTAGATTCTTAATTTTTGGTTCTGTTTTCAAATTGGTCTACATAAAGGTCCAAAGGGTCCAAAATTAAACTTAGTTTGATTTCAACAAAAATTGAATATATGGGGTTCTTTGATATGCTGAATCTAACCATGTATTTAGATTTTTGATTATGGGCCCAGTTTTCGAGTTGGTCCAAATCGGGGTCCAAAATTAAACTTTGTTTGATTTCAACAAAAATTGAATATATGGGGTTCTTTGATATGCTGAATCTAACCATGTATTTAGATTTTTGATTGTTGGGCCCCGTTATCAACTTTGTCCACATTGAGATCAAAAGGGTCCAAAATTAAACTTTGTTTGATTTCATCAAAAATTGAATATATGGGGTTCTTTGATATGCTGAATCTAACCATGTATTTAGATTTTTGATTATGGGCCCAGTTTTCAAGTTGGTCCAAATCGGGGTCCAAAATTAAACTTTGTTTGATTTCAACAAAAATTGAATATATGGGGTTCTTTGATATGCTGAATCTAACCATGTATTTAGATTTTTGATTATGGGCCCAGTTTTCAAGTTGGTCCAAATCGGGGTCCAAAATTAAACTTTGTTTGATTTCAACAAAAATTGAATATATGGGGTTCTGTAATATGCTGAATCTAACCGTGTATTAAGTTTTTGGATTTTGGGCCCCGTTTTTAAATTGGTCCACATTGAAGTCCAAAGGGTCCAAAATTTAACTTTGTTTGATTTCATCAAAAATTGAATTATTGGGGTTCTTTGATATGCCGAATCTAACCGTGTATTTAGATTCTTAATTTTTGGTTCTGTTTTCAAATTGGTCTTCATAAAGGTCCAAAGGGTCCAAAATTAAACTTAGTTTGATTTTAACAAAAATTGAATTTTTAGGGTTCTTTGATATGCTGAATCTAAACATGTATTTAGATTTTTGATTATGGGCCCAGTTTTCAAGTTGGTCCAAATCGGGGTCCAAAATTAAACTTTGTTTGATTTCAACAAAAATTGAATATATGGGGTTCTTTGATATGCTGAATCTAACCATGTATTTAGATTTTTGATTTTTGGGCCCTGTTATCATTTTTGTCCACATTGAGATCAAAAGGGTCCAAAATTAAACTTTGTTTGATTTCATCAAAAATTGAATTCTTGGGGTTCTTTGGTATGCTGAATCTAACCATGTATTTAGATTTTGGATATTGGACCATAATAGGTGAATGTCCAATTTAAAATTTTTAAGTTCTTAGACCACATTCATTCTGTGTCAGAAACCTATGCTGTGTCAAATATTTAATCACAATCCAAATTCAGAGCTGTATCAAGCTTGAATGTTGTGTCCATACTTGCCCCAACTGTTCAGGGTTCGACCTCTGCGGTCGTATCAAGCTGCGCCCTGCGGAGCATTTTATTGGCTATAATATTTAAAAGATCAAGAAATAGGTCAAAGCGGCAGAATTCCTCAGTCGTCCCCATATAGGAGTTATTTCTTCAGTGTCAATTTGGTCCCATTTGTTTTGTTATTGATGAACGTTAAAGTAGATAAAGAGAAACTATAGACAATTAAAATGATCAGCAAAAAAATGATCTGCTAATAAGTTAAAGTCAACTGTTGGCCAAATTCCTCGGTCTACTCTGCCCTTTAATCAAGTTTAATGATGATTTTTACCCATATTTTGCGTTTTTGTTGGAAACCATAGTAGATAAAGTACAGAACAGTAAACAGAAAAAAATATCAACAAATAAAGATCATTATCGCTATTTTACGAAATTTTCCTTTGATCTTACTGACTGATAATTTCCTTTCTCAGCACAGTAGAGTGATATGAAAAATTATCGCTAGAAACTAAGGGCGCACGTGCCGTTGTCAATGAAATTAACAACGTCGTCATAGGTAAAATAGCGATAAACAGATTATCATTGGTCATCTCAACTCAATTTCTTTTCTTACTTTCACCGTACCGGCTCAAGCGAGAAAATCAATCTCGTTGAGATGACCAACGATAATCTATAAAGATCTACGATTAAAATTGTCAATCAACACCTTAAAGGAGTTGTTGCCATTAAATCCTAATTTTAACCCTTAGTTTTTATTTTTGCATATTACCATATCCTAAAAACTGATGATGGATAGACAAAAAACTAATGCTGACAAAACTGCATGTTGGTTAACAAACAATGATATGTATATACATCAAAGCTATAATGTTGTCATTCCATGTGATCATGAAGTCAATAAGAAAGCATAACAAGGTTAATTTTAACATCCACTTGTTGTTATTGATAATTTGAATTTTGATGAAACTTGGTATGACAGGTCTTTGATGATGTGTAATGACCTTGAGATTGAAAGATTTTAAGTTCACATGTTTTCCTTACATACATTTTATTGAAGAACTAGTTGGCCTTTTGGTTTATAATTATATCAATTTAATTAAGATTTTATTTCTTTCTTCCCATGTATTAAAATCAATATTGACTTCCTGTAGAACATAGACATTTCATTGATGTAGCAAAAATCTTTGATGTTTACCATTAAAGTTATGGAAAACATTAAAAGTATTGACATTTCACATGTCAAAGTTTTTCTGTCGAAAACAAATTAGAAAAGCTGTCACCAATTGTTTTTAAAAAAATTGAATGGAAATTGTGAATCACTTTTATTTAATCATGATTACATTGTCAGTTTTGACATGACCTTAAGGTCAAAAGTCCCATTTTTTCCAGTAACATCTGTCCCACATTTTTTTTAAAGAAATTCTGTGTTTTTGTTATCTTGTTCATTTTCATCACCTAGTTGTAGGTTTTTTCTGGTAAGTTATATGTAAAAATTCAAATATTAAATATATCATTTATCCAGAATTTTTTGTTCAACCTCAACAGCTTTTTACTATTCTAATTACTCTGTATAGTGTACTTCTATCAGATTGAGTCATACTGAATTGGCTGTGTTTCAAATGTTTACTTTATTCAATTTAATCATTGGGAAACATTAAAAAATAATGTTTATTTTTTTATTGATCAGGTTTTAACTTAATTCAAGAAAAATTGCTTTTTGACTCTGATCTACCTTTCAATTCATGCTTTACCTATACACGTAATTGTAAATTTATATCAGTGTTCATAGTCAGAAAGTAAGAAATTAACCTTTTATCTTTTATGACCATTGATTAAGTTTAATACATTGTTACTGATTTTCTGCATCTTTCTGATAAACACCTACAGTATTTTAGTCATTTTAAATATGTTGGGGACATGGTACTGCCAAATTGGGAATAGTTCCCCAAATGTGTAAGTATCACTCAAATAAGTTATAGGGACTTCCCGTTTTGAATTTTCCTTGGAATTCGGTATTCTTGTTATTTTACTTTTTTCTAGTGTTAAAAAACCTTTTTTTTATTGGAATCCATGTTTTATGCTTGAAATGGCACATATTCTTAAAAAATGCAGCAATTTTCCCAAAGATGAACAGTTCTAAATTGATTTCCTGAGAAGTAACAAGCTGATAAAAACTTTGAAAAATTGACATATTTTAAAGCTGTTAACTTTTTTAAAACCCAAAGTAATAATATAGTTCGTAAGAAAAAAATGTTCAATTTTCTATAAATTCTGATATTTTAAGATTTTAGCACTATCAAATTATCAGCTACATTGAGGATTTGATTTACATTTTTTTTTTTGGGGGGGGGGGGGGGTTCTCAACCTGTTCAAATATTAAATTTATTTTGCTGACTTTCTTTGTTTTGTCAAAAGTACAAAGCTATCAGATCTGGTCTGATTACTATGGAAGAAATTGAAATTTATGAAGTGAGAAACATATATTGCCCTTCCCCATAGCTATTCAATATCTCCTTGGACTAATTCTTGACTGTAAAATACCCCTTGCAGCAATGTTTTCAATGGACAAAACTCTTCTTTAAATATCTAGATCAAGATTGTTTGATACTATTTTAAAAATTAAGAAAAAAACCTATTTTCTTCCTTAGGATGTTTTTAATGTGTAATAACATTGATGTTACCTGTATATTTGTAGGCCTCACAAGATAGAAGGTCATGTTTGGGGTGTTAATTGCAATGCTGACAGAATTTACAATTAAATAAAACAAGTAAAAGTTTTATTTACAACTTCAGAAGGTACTTTTATAGTAAATATACTTATCTGCACTAAAATAAAGATATTATAGAGAACAATACTAATAAGCTTTTTTCAGTAGACATTAATGATTTAAAGTAAACCAGTTGTATAGTGTTAATAAAAAATCAATTTTCATCTTGAATGAAAAGAAAATCACAAAGAGGAATAAACTTTAAAAAAAGAACTTGTGAATTGTGTATTTTGACTTCTGCGTCACATGTTGCACCCTTCATACTTAACATAAAGTAAACAGTGAGGTGTGAATTTCTTATGAATGAATTGCTGTTTCTGTTGATATTGACGACAGAGAAGTGCATGTCAACATCGTCAAAATAAACCTTTTCATTACAAACAAGTAATATTCTCCAGATAAATTAGTTTTTAATCCATAGAAATTGCAGAATAGAGATAGTAACATGTTTTGGACTTGTCATATATATGTCTGTCTGAAACAACTTCCCATACAACAGAAGTTACCTTAAGAAGGCAATCTTTCTGATGACAGTCTTTTAACTGGTCATATATATGTTTGTCTGAAACAACTTCATATACAAGAGAAGTTACCCTAAGAAGGCAATCTTTCTAATGCTATTCTTTGAACTTGTCATATGTATGTTTGTCTGAAGCAACTTCCAATACAAGAGAAGTTACCTAATGAAGGCAATCTTTCTAATGCCAATCTTTGAACATGTCATTTGTATGTTTGAAACATCTCATACAACTGAAGTTACCTAAAGAAGGCAATCTTTCTGATGCCAATCTTTGAAATGGTCATATGTATGTCTGTCTGAAACATCTTCCCATACAACAGAAGTAACCTTAAGAAGGCAATCTTTCTGATGCCAATCTTTGAACTTGTCATATGTATGTCTGTCTGAAACAGCTTCCCATACAACAGAAGTTACCTTTAGATGGCAATCTTTCTGATGCTGATCTTTGAACTTGTCATATGTATGTCTGTCTGAAACATCTTCTCATACAACAGAAGTTACCTTAAGAAGGCAATCTTTCTGATGCCAATCTTTGAACTTGTCATATGTATGTCTGTCTGAAACATTTTCCCATACAACAGAAGTTACCTTAAGAAGGCAATCTTTCTGATGCTGATCTTTGAACTTGTCATATGTATGTCTGTCTGAAACATCTTCCCATACAACAGAAGTTACCTAAAGAAGGCAATCTTTCTGATGCCAATCTTTGAAATGGTCATATGTATGTCTGTCTGAAACATCTTCCCATACAACAGAAGTTACCTTAAGAAGGCAATCTTTCTGATGCCAATCTTTGAACTTGTCATATGTATGTCTGTCTGAAACATCTTCCCATACAACAGAAGTTACTTTTAGAAGGCAATCTTTTTGATGCTGATCTTTGAACTTGTCATATGTATGTCTGTCTGAAACATCTTCCCATACAACAGAAGTTACCTTAAGAAGGCAATCTTTCTGATGCCAATCTTTGAACTTGTCATATGTATGTCTGTCTGAAACATCTTCCCATACAACAGAAGTTACCTTAAGAAGGCAATCCTTCTGATGCTGATCTTTGAACTTGTCATATGTATGTCTGTCTGAAACATCTTCCCATACAACAGAAGTTACCTAAAGAAGGCAATCTTTCTGATGCCAATCTTTGAACTGGTCATATATGTCTGTCTGAAACATCTTCCCATACAACAGAAGTTACCTTTAGAAGGCAATCTTTCTGATGCCAATCTTTGAACTTGCCATTGTTACAGCTCAAATGAGACAGTCATTGTTAGTGGTTGGAGTGAACCACAAAATCCATGAAAAGTTGTACCCAAGAAACATTAAGTATCAAACATAGACAAATTTTTCTTGAAGGAGGCACTTTCTGGTTCCTTGTCTACTATAGCGTTCCTGTCCAATTTATAGATGAACTAATTTTTAGATTTAATGCACAGATTCTGGTTGGAAGTTTTATTGTGATGTGTGAATACCTCCTAATGGATATGAGGTTGCTATTCATTGATGAAACCATTAGAGTTTGTTTTTACCTTTATTTGAACCTTAATCATCATCTAAGCTTTGTACTCAACATTAGTTTTTATCAGCATAATATTCATTAGAACTTTGTGATTAGCATTATGAAACCTGAAAAAATCCATAAGATCATATTTTTTTATGTAATTAAATGTCAACTAAAGTACATAAAAAGACAAAAGGAATTGATAATTAATTATGGAATCTGTATATCAATAGGATATGTGATGTGCTTTGAATAGGTTGCTGTGATCATTAAGAACAGCTATTGTCTGACTTTTATCATATTATTACTCTCAGTTTATATGTTATATGAAACGAAAGTGAACAGTAGAGACAAGTCAATAACAATGCACCTGATAGAATAAAAAAAACCAATGACATAAGTAATGTTCAATGTCACATGTCAAGGATGGGTCAATATTTTGTTTATCATAGAACACGTTATAAATTAAAAGAAACAATCAATAATTTAGTAAAATGGAATGACTTCCTATTGAACCCCCCTCTTTTGACGGAATAAGCATAGACATACATTAAGGGTTCTGAAGGAAGTCTTTCCAGTAAAACAAAAACTGTGAATTATATATATTTGTTGTAGAATTTATTGTTGGATAATTTTACTTTTAAGGTGATTGGAATTGAGGAGGGTAAAGCTTTGATTTGTGAGTCCCTTTTCCTTCTGATTAGGCTTTTTGTTGACTAAAGTTTAGGTTTTAAGGTAGTTTGATGCCAACAAAATGAAATAGCATCTACAATGAAGGAAGACATGAACAGTGTAAAATTTATCCTAAAAGGATCGAGTGACCTTTAACTTATTGATCAGTTTTATTTGAGGTTAACCTGTGAAAAGTCAGGTTTGAGTCAGTTTGATGTGAAGTACAGGAAAATTCATCAATTAATTAAAATGTTAACATCATAAAACATATGTCTATCATCGAAAAAGTTTTGGTTAAAGTAAAGTTTCAGATAGTTGAATGTGAGGTACATAATAATTCACTGTTGAATGCTTATACCAGTACACGAAAATTGTCATTAGAACAGTGTGACCTAGATATCACAGTTCAGTAGTCACAGTTATGGTTAAATAGGTGAATTTGATGTCTAAAACTATCTAAAGGTACACTTTATTTAATTATTTACAGGGTGCATTTGAAAAAGAATTCAAAATTTACTTTTAGGGTGATGGCTTAAAAATCAAAGAATAGTTTACAATATTTAAAAAAACCAATTCATGTCAATTTGGGGGAACAACAGTTGATGGACCATGCTGTCTCAAAAAACCTATATTGACCTAAGCTTTGTTTTGGACCATAGTTCTTTTGTCATTAATTAGGTGTTGCATATTGTTCAACTACTATGTTCCAACATTTAAAAAGTGTTTTTTGTGCTCTCTGATGATTTAAACAATGCAATATGAAATGATTCCAAAAACATTTTTTGGCTTCACAGTAAAAATATATGATTGCTTGTGTTGTACTTCCATAATTTATAAGTCAGGTATAATGAAATAAGTAATGGCAGTTTGTACACCATTTAGTAATCTCTATATAATTATATGGACCTGAACTTCACTGTGATTCATAACCTTATTTTAATATAAATGCTCTGTCTGTTAACTGCAATTTAGTCCTAAATACCATGAATTATTAATGTTAAATGATATTGATATTACATATCTCATAATTTCATGAGCATGTTGCCATGGCAATATATTTGTAAACTACATTTATTCAATATAAATACAGAAAGTGTCAGGTTAACAGCAACCAAACAATACAAATTTACCAAAATAAACACTTAAAGGTCACCATAGAACCTTAAATGATGGGCAGGGATTAGAAGAAAAGAAAAAGTTTACACTTGAAAAAAAACAATGCTGGAACATATTGGTGGTAGAACAATATATATATGTAACAAATATAGGTTTGAACGTTGTTTTCAATTTAGACTTATATATACATATATATATATATATATATATATAAAATCAAGTCTAAATTGAAAACAACATATATATATATATGTTGTGTACAAGATGTAAGTTTGTACAAATTATAATTTGTACAGGGTTTTTGTACAAGTTATAAGTTTTTTGACACATACCTTTTTGCACCAGGTGATAAAAGTTTATCTTTTAAAATTTATCAGTTTAATATCTAAAATTCAAATGTATATACTTCAACCTAACATTTAGTGCTATTCTCCTTGTCCTCAAACTGGAAATAAGGACACCTGAATGGTTTAAATTCTAATTTTATTTTTCTCCTTATACCAAAATCATATCCATAAAAAGTCTTTTTGTGTTCTTCTAATGTTTTTTGTACCAATGCTCAGTATTAAACTGTATCATGTAGTCATGGAAATATGACAGAAATATGCGAAACAAAAGACTGTGTATTTGCATCATCCATTAGTGTTAAGCGGTTCATAAAACACTGATAACTAGTGTACAAAAAATCTGTACAAATTATAATTTGTACAACATTACAATTTGTACACAACATATATATATATACAAATAAGAACATGTGGTATGATTGCCAATGAGACAACTCTCTACCAGAGACCAAAGACCAACGATGTTAACAATTGTAGGTCCTTGACTTCATTGTTGAAGGTGGTAAAATGAGCTATAGAGGTTTACACCCTCAACCTTATGGTGTGTGCTGGATAGTTGTCTCATCGCCAATTATACCACATCTCCTTAATTTTATAAAGATTGTTTCGTTATTATAATTGTCATAAAGTATAACTGCTGTTATATGATTTATCTTACTTTGAATAATAAATTGAATTGTTAAAAATATTTTTTACCTGATTGTTATTGATTAACACCTGTGTTTTTCACTTTATACATACATGATGTGGGGAACTTTAAATTACCTGTAAATTAGATTACAAAATCTTCATCTAATTTTTGGTTTAAATTGAAATTTTAAATAGTCTGCTTGGTGCCAGTCACTGTTAGCCTAGAGTGTTTACATACAGACAAGTTAATCACCAGTCTGAGAACGTGTTTTTCTCTAAGTTTTCCATAATTGTGTATTCACCACTTGTTAAGCAATATTACATCACCTTTAAAAACAGACCAAAACCACAAATTTTAGAAAATATATATTAAATAGGTAATGAACTGGTTTCTCTAATTTCATTAAAGGGAAACTAAAAGTATTGATGGTTACTAGATGTGCTTTATTTAAGCTTGAGAATGTCTTCTTAATGGTTATTCAGTTAATTAAAGGTAATGAGACTTCATTAGTATTCCTCATGATACCAGTTTTCTTGAAATTTGTTCCCAAAATAAGAAACTAAGTACTCCGGAGAAAAGAAACAGTATGATATTTTTCTGATGTGCCTTCATTTAATTTGGAATCAACAGAACAGAATGTAGCAACATGTAATAAACTCTGCCCAAGTTTGTAATTTGGTTAATGACCAAAAAAAATAATTGATGATTGAGCCCATTTATGAATCTTTGTTTAAAATTTGTGCTACATTTATATGGTTATAGGATACATCAAGCAAAAAAATCCTGTATTTAGTTTATTTTTCTATTATATAAACTTGAAAACAATTCTTACACTACTAAATGCACCAGGGCTCACGCTACCATGAGACTGGGGCAAAGAAGTCACAATCCCATCCGTCACTTCATTTTTCCCCACCGTCAATGCGACATCTAGTCATCCTGGTGTTCACAACAATCGCTTTCAGTAGCTTTTGTCATGGGCAATTTTCATTTTAAAAAAAATTTGCATAACTATTTAAACATTGTTGCAAAATATCTTAAAATAAGGAATTAATCCACTGCATGACTTTAAATCTTAAATTATTTGATAGTAAATCTGCATTATTTAGAGCTTGCTATCCTGCATAGGTTCACACATTGTTGAAGGTTGTATGGTGACCTCTAGATTTCTATTTTAAGCTCACCTAGACCATGTGATCTATTGCCGTCACATGGCATTGTCCATCTGTAAACTTTAAATTTTCATCTTCTTCTATTAAATCATGTACCCAATTTTAATCAAGCTTGGCAGGAATGATGAATGGAAGGTCCTCTACAAAAGATCCTCTTTTGGTTCTGAATAGATCAAAAAAATTATATATCTGTACTCTTCGTCGTTGTTAGTGGTAAGACATTTGTCATCCTGTCAATGTGTCTTTTTTCCAGCATTTATGGGTTCGAAGATAACAAGTGGTGAAAAAAAACTTTTTAAAGTAAAAATAATTAATGTATACTAGTACTTGTATATATACAAAATAGATGTCCTTTATAAGAGGTTAAATGTAGTAACTTGGCCAATATGGAGTTATCAAGTCCTGGACAGTAACTGGGGCAATATTGATGTATCCAGTCCTGAAAATGAGATATGGACAAAAAACTGGGCCAATATGGATTTATCCAGTCCTGGAAATGAGATATGGACAGTAACTGGGTCAATATGGATATATCTAGTCTAGTATGTGAGATCTGGATAGTAACTGGGCCAATATGAATTTATCTAGTCTAGTATGTGAGATCTGGGCAAATATGGATTTATCCAGTCTCGTATGTGAGATCTGGGCAAATATGGATTTATCCAGTCTCGTATGTGAGAACTGGGCCAATATGGATTTATCCAGTGTAATATGCCAAATCTGGACTTCTGATTTTTATTGTCCTAGTTTTAGAATTTTACAAGCATTTATATTATGTGCACAGTCTTAGATATAAGAAGATGTGGTGTGAGTGCCAATGAGACAACTCTCCATCCATATTAAGTCCAATAATATTGTAGTTATTCATTTAATGAATTGTACTCAAAGGTTAATATGATTAAAAGTGCCTTTGTTTATTGCAGATAATGAGTTAGAAAAGTTTCAACCGCATCATTGGTAACCAAAGGTAAATTTATAAGTATAAAGCACAAAATAACCACAGTCATCCTGAGACAGCATTTCAATATTTTAACTGTATTAATAAAAGAATATTCATTTGGTCTTATGAACATTAACTCATACCATATAGAATGCTTAAAAAGAGCCACAAAGTCAAGTTAGCTGAAAATCTTGTTCGTAGCAAGAAACAATACACTATTTAAACAATGAAGACACAGAAAAAATGTACTGGTAACAAACAAAGAATCTTGTAATATCTGATACCTGCCTTTGAATGTGTTCTATTTTCAGAAGTTTTTAAATGGTAATATATTTTACATGGTTTTGTATCTTCAATTAAAAAAAAGGTTGTAGTTGATATTAGAAAAGGTCAAAAATATTAACTAATGCTTATAATGTACTTTCAAATTCAATTTAACAATATTTCAAAAGAAAAAGCTTGAAGATTGTATTTAGAGAAAAAATATTTGAAAAAAATGATTTCTTAAAGAGACTTCTTACAATTGTCAATAATGAAGAATCAATGAGCAGATTAGAATATAACAAAGACCTCACATCTTTTTAGAATCATCAGTTTTAGTATTGGACAACATCTTAGGTCTTCCGTTGATTATAATATAAGATTAGAAATTTTAAAGGAAATTGCTGATTTATAATTAGGCACATTTATCTTGATCAATCAAGATTTATCTTAAATGAATAATATGAAAAGGATTTTTGTATGTGTGACTATAATTTTTAACAACATGGCAGCACTATGGAATTCATGTCTTATCTAGGTAGTTTTTAAGTGTGGTCCTTGTCAAAAGTAGTTAGCCTATTACAGAAAGTCCAAAATCAATGTCAACTGTTAGACTTTAAGCTTCAAAAAGACATTACATTTAAAATTTAGTTGTATGATGTACATTTAGGTTAGAAAAGTAAACAAACACATTGACAGAAATAAAAAACAATCAATGGATTTAACCAAATCAAAAATGCACTGAAATTAACTTGCTTTGAACAGGTAGAACTTCCATATAAAAGGTCATGTTCATTATAACATTTTAATCTGCAGATATGAAAAGATGCCCACGTTTGTTTGATGAAAGAGAATTGATTGCTTAAAGATGAAGGAGATTGATGAAGTTCCAACTAAGATTAGTGTTAGTAAGATCTGTCTCTTCAGGAAAGGATCAGATATTGATCTCGAGGTATGTATATAGGTAAATCAATCAGTCCACCATAGATATATCGAGTAATTTAGGCCTAATTATTACCTAATTAATAATGGAGAATAAAGGGAATAAAAGGTATGAAGGTATTATGGTAGTCTATCTATTGCAATTAGAGACATGAAAATGTCGTTACTGGGCACCAGGGAAAAGAGGTATATAGTGTTAATTGCTACAAGGTTGGTGGAAACAGTAGATTGTATTTCTAACAATACCCATCATTACCTGTTTTTATGCCCCCGCAACTAAAAGTTGGGGGGCATATTGTTTTACCCCTGTCCGTCCGTCCCTTTATGGGTATATAGTTATTCCACATAACTCCTCCTACATGTGGTCAGGGTTTAGATTTTTATTAATATTTGCTCTTTTGGGAGATAGTTGAACTTTGTCATTTTTTGGAGTATAAGAGGTGCATAACCTTACAGTTATTCCGCATAACTCCTCCTACAGTTTGAATGCTAGGAAGTTTTCAATTTGCTGGCTGTTTGTACATATATTGAAGGTGTGCATATGGTCAGGATTTTGATTTTTGATAATATTTGCTCTTTTGGGAGATAGTTGAACTTTGTCATTTTTTGGCATATTTACTTGCATAAGAGGTGCATAGTGTTTCCAAATAACTTCTCCTACAGTTTGAATGCTAGGAAGTTTTCACTTTGCTGGCTGTTTGTACATATATTGAAGGTGTGCATGTGGACAAGGTTTTGATTTTTATAAATATTTGCTCTTTTGGGAGATAGTTGAATTTTGTCATTTTGGAGTATATACTCGCATAAGAGGTGCATAGAGTTTCCGGATAACTCCTCCTACAGTGAACCATAGACCTATGTGCTCCCATGCTCAACTTTGTGTATTTTAAAATAACACTTTGCATCTGCTAAGGAATCATTTGTGTCTCCCAGACACACAATATCTCAAAGAAAGTTCTAAATTGACTTTGTTATAATACAGATACTTCAGAGTGGAGTGCTGGGGCATCACTTTGTCTAGTATAATGTTAAAATTGGCTATTTGTTGCACTTTTATGAATAATTATCTAAATGAAGGGCTACAGGAACTTTTTTTTTCTGAACAAGGAACATTTACATTTTTGCCAATGTCTAAAGATTTAATCACAGAGAGTTGTAATAAAATCATATGCTGATCTATTTTTGATGAATCACAATGATGACTATTTCTATAATTGGAATGTATATTAATCTGTGATGAATATGAGAATTTTATGGACTACAATGAGACTGAGAAAAATATAAGGTAAAGTATGGGTGATAGATTTTTGTGTTAATATCTGTACAATTAAGACTGGCAGAATTGTTGAGAGACATTGCAGGTTTTGACTTTTTATAATATTTGGCAGAAAAATATAATGTAATATAAACCTAAGTTAATAATTAATAAATGGTTTGAAAGGGGAGGGTTCTATTCTTTATTATACATTACACCTCTTTTAATTAAATCATGATGTATACTCTACATTTCACCTTACACCTCTTTTTATTAAATCATGATGTATACTCTACATTTCACCTTCACCTTACACCTCTTTTTATTAAATCATGATGTATACTCTACATTTCACCTTCACCTCTTTTTATTAAATCATGATGTATACTCTACATTTCACCTTACACCTCTTTTTATTAAATCATGATGTATACTCTACATTTCACCTTCACCTTACACCTCTTTTTATTAAATCATGATGTATACTCTACATTTCACCTTACACCTCTTTTTATTAAATCATGATGTATACTCTACATTTCACCTTACACCTCTTTTTATTAAATCATGATGTATACTCTACATTTCACCTTACACCTCTTTTTATTTAATCATGATGTATACTCTACATTTCTTGCTATTACTACAATTTTAATGTATGATATTTTGTTGTTTCCCATGTGCTGTTCTGTATATTTTCTATTAAAAAAAATGCTTTGAAACTGAAATGCCTAAATTGGGGGTAATTGAATTGGACCAAGACACGATGGATCAGTATGAAAGACAAATTGAGGAAGTTTGAAAACAGGTCAGCCTGTTTTCAAACCAATTGAGCTAATTCTATCATTTCTGTTGGCTTTAAAAGCTTTTGAAATTAGGGGATAACTGTATTGTATGTTAAGCTTGGCCTTCGTATTTGTGACAGTAAAATTAATAATACAAAGGCAAAGCTTAAAATACAACACAGTTATCTCCATTCAAATGCCACATATTATAATAAATTCCATTTGGTTTTAGTAAATGTTTTGGTTTAAAAATGCCCTAAATGAAAAAGTCTGAGAAAATGTTACATCATCTTTGGTATCTAAACAATGTGACTTCATAGGTATACTCCTGATGTCAAATATAAACAGTAGACATATGGATACTTTTCATACGCTTCTGAATGGTTTAAATATTGAATTCAAAATGGTGGCATTCCTTAGATATGGACTGGTAGAACGTGGAATCTAACCCTTCAAAATATTTGTCAACGTCCAATGAAAATTATCGTTCTAAACGAATTGCATTAGAATGTTCATTTCGATGACTTAAATGTTGTGCTCAAAATTATGATTTCAGTTGCTTTGGTGCTATTTGATATTTGTTTTTAACATACATCTATTACTACTCATTAATTTATGCCTAAGGAGATCATTAAGGCTGAAGGATTAAGTAGATAAATCCTGTGGCATTAAATTAAGTTAAGCTAAAATATCTTTACTAGATTAATTTTAAGGATAAATTTTAAGCTTAAGAAAATGTATCTGATATTGATTGGATGTTACACATAGGACATTTTATAGTGAAAGGCAACCAGTGACAGTTGTTAGAACAGCTTGTTTTAAATCACATGAGAAATAGACTTTTTAACTGTGAGGCTATGTGATTGGACAAGAAAGACTTTTAAAACCAATGGTAAACTTTGAAATTAAGAATGCTGTACATTGCGGTTTTTTATAGGTGGTGGGTAAATGTTTATATGACTGTGTTGCTGTACTGTGTAGTTGCGTAGACATTTAACTTAGGCCTGCACATGCATTTTTTTTTTAAATACGCATATTTTCTTTATTGCTCTGTTACACACATATCCTGTGGTGCTCCAGATAGTGGAGGAATTTATGGCAAAGAAAGAAAAAGCTGATCACCATCTCATGAAATAGTGAAGTTAATCTAACTTATAATGATTTAACTTGAAAAAATACTGTGATGGTTGTATTGTGTTTAAAGTAGGGTACAATATATAAAACCTGTAGGTAAAGTGTTTCTTCTTCTTTTTTTTTATACAAAAGATGTTCCTATCTTTAGTTTCAAAGATGCATCTATAAATACAACAAATATCATTCAATACACGCTTATATATATATTGGTCTTGTCATTTGCAAGCTTGTTCCTAACTGAGTTGTATTAAGTGGTCCGAGAAATCTTACAAATTGGTCCATGCTGTCTTTATAAATGGTCTTTTTGTTGTATTCTAGCTTGACCTCTCATTTAAGCAGGAAATCATGCACTTATTCCTCATCAAGTGATGTCTTTGGACTAAGGCATATATTGCTGAATTTATTGATTCCAAGGAAGCAATCTTATATTGATGAGTTTTAAATGCAATTTATTGGCAAATCTTTCTTTTATCACTAAATACTTCTATTACTATCTTGCCTCCATGTACATAAAAGCAAATACAATTTTGTGCATAAAGATTTTCTTAAGCATTAATCATGTGAATTTTCATGTAGAAAAAGTTTTTAAAAAGTTTGAAATTTTTCTTTTTTTTTTCAGTTGTTTTTTGTTTGTTTTGAATAATGGTCCTATTCCAACATTTTTTTATCATTTTATTTTATATAGGTTTCTTAAACTTTTTACTTAAAGACATAAAATAGCAATAAAAGTCTTTTTTACCATAAAACAGCAAGCACATAGACAACATATGTACATTAACATATTTACATGTCCATTCTGGCAGAATATTTGTTAGCAACACTTCTAATGTACTGTGTCCATGTAATTTCACCTCTACCATACGTCTGCTACATTTCCAGAACAAATCAATTTTGTTATGCATCTGCAGCTAGGCGAAGGGAGCATTAAGGTTTACCCTTAACCGCCTGTACATCCGTACATACATACATTCCGAAAATGGTTACAGTTCTCTAGCTTTAGTTTGTCTCAACCAATTGTTATTAAAAAATTATACACAATACTAATTACTACCAAACGTTCTCAAGAAATGTCCGATAGTAAATGGAAAAATTGCTGAATTTGCCATTTCCCCATTCTAACTTTATTTTGCCTCAGCCAAATGTTATGAAACTTATACATAATACTTATTACTACCAAACACATATCAAGTTCGAATTTGAGTTGCATTACTCTTACTGTTCTCAAGTTATGTACCTGTATAAATGGAAAAATTCATGGTACATTGACTGTTGCATATTAACAAGTGGGGCATCTGTGTCCATGGTCTGTGTCCCATGGACACATCATTCTTTTCTTCTAATGGATGCAGGCATATCAAGAAATCTGATTTTGATGTAAGTTATTGCTTGAATCTTCTTAATAACATCCATAACATAAACTCATTGAACACCATGTGACTGCTGTCCTGGGACTAACTCATGAAATGTAAAATTAATATGATCTGCCATTCTGGTAATTTTATAATGAAATATTTATTTTCTGACTCAAACTAAATTTTTTTTTTAGGGCAAATTAAAATTTATATTCTTTTCAAATTGGCATTAATGCAATATGCCAATTGTAGTAATGTCTCTAAATGTTACTTGAGGGAGTATGTGGTCTTTTGCCATCATTAATCGCAGGAATGCAATTAATATATGTGACTTTACATTTAAATGCAGACAATTTTGCAATTTTTTCTTGAAAACAAGTTTAATGCTTAAACTTTTGTAGCCAGTTGCCCCCAGCATGATGTGTTGCGGGGGACATAGAAATACTGGGCGTCCTTCTGTATGTCCAGTCATGTAAACGCTTTT